ACAACGTTACCATTTTTCAGATACAGAACAGAACACAAGTTTCCCTGTGACCAATGTTTTAAGAAAGCTCGTCGACCAATTGAAGGGAATTGTAACAAATTTGCTTTGTTGTAAATTCGTATTTTAATTGATAGTTATTGAAACTCGTGGTTTGAATACGAAAAATGCTTCAACACGTGACCACTCTTGTGACCTTTAGTATTAGATTGTGAATTTTTTGTCTTTTTTTTTCTGCGACTATTATATCGCGTTATATGTTTTTTTATATCTTTCGGATGTTTAAACTGAACACGGTTTGTGTAATTGAGGTGACGAGTGACCAAGAATTCCGTTCATGTGACCTTTACTTAAGGATGTTGTTCGTTTAGTATGTTTTTTGCTTGTTTTTACATATAATATGGAAAAACTTTTGGAGAAAGTTACTTTAATTTTTGTTTGAAAAAGAATTTGTAAAAGCGCATCTTATTTTAGAAGTGCTTTTAGGGATTGGCTTTCTCTGAAACTTTTCATAAAATTACTCAAACGGGTCCAAAAGCTTCTTTTTGGTAAATCAATATTTTTTTTCTTGGGAGGTATTGAGAGGGAATTTGAATGGAATAAGATCGATTCATACAGAAGAAACAATTCTCTATTGATTCAAACGATGTACCTATGAAATCTTAGGGAAAGAGGAAGAGGAAAAAATCAAAGATTTCATATAGTACTTTTAATCGAAAAATTAATTTTCAAAAGCAATGTTAAACGGAGCAGTAAGTCAATTGTGATGCCTAGTTCTTGTTTGTTTGAATAATTAAAGTTTGGCTTGCAATTAATTCCTAATAGTATTTCGTAAAAATGACATAATGAGACTTGAGACAACTACTCCTGGCCTAACTAGCACTCGCGTGTACTCAATGTGACCATGAACGCAGCCATTTAATGCGATTAATGTCATCCTCGTGCTATTATTTTTTGTGTCCGAGTCAGAATCATATTCGAAAATCGAAACTATGACATTCTAACCTTCATACATCCTCGTGCTATTATTTTTTGTGTCCGAGTCAGAATCAGATTCGAAAATCGAAACGATGACATTCTAACCTTCATGGCTCAAACATTTCGTCCAATTTCAATGTTTCATTCACCGAAAACAAGTCCCGATACACATAACGTTATCGTCTCCAATCACAAATCGAAACTTGTTAATTGTTGTATCAATCTTTTCGTCTAATTATTTGAATCTCATTAAAATAAGAAACTAACTCATTCCCTAACCCATACGAGCCCATACGTAGCTAGGTGTATGCCATCATTAAGGACTATGTCATTCTATTACTCCATCGTCACACCTTAGACGTGTGTGAATACACGGGAGTTTGCCTTATAAACGACGTGTTTGAAATAAGTTCTTGTCGTTCCTTTCTCTATCGAACGTGCTGTGACTTTTTTAGAGCCATTTTGTTACCATCTCATTATAGGTTAAAAAATAGAAGAAAAAAAAGGAAGACAGATTTGATGGCCGTACCAGACTATCCTTTTACATTTCTTTTTCAATTTATGAACTGTCAATTTGTTATCGCATTACATAATTTGCTGACTTCGTTCCAACTAACTCATATTCCTCTCGGATTCAACAACCAGCATCTCACACGAGTAGTTTTCATACATAAATTCTCCGTCGGACTTTAATATCGAAATGTGACCTACCATTTATCGACTCTTTCTTAGAAGACTGAACATATTGATGATCACTTGTGTATATTTTACAAAGTTGAGACAATGATGTGGCGTGGTGTGGTATACATCCATGGAAGTGTCAAATTGAACTCAAACACGTAAAAGTGACAAAATCCAACTCTAACTCCATGGAAAAATCTAGGCTGGATTCAATGCATGGACAAAAAGAATAAGTGTCCATACACAACACCATACTAAGTATCTAGAAACTAATATATTTCAATTCAAAAATCACAATAGAACTTTATTTTAAACCTTAAAATTCAAGTTGTAAGATTCATGCACGGACCACAATCAGGGGCGGACTAAGGATTATGGTTAAACAAGGTTGAGACGGAATTATGTAAAAAATAATTTCAAATTAGACTTACTTTTTTGGGTTGGGATTAAAAATTATGGGATAAAATTATGTGGACTTTTTCTAAAGTTTGGGTGGTCGATAATTAATATGAATTTTTATCTCATTAAGAAGAAATGACCTAAGTAAGTAACACACATCGTGTATGAGACGAGAGAAGCTCTTTCTCACAATAGCATATATGATTAAAAGTAAAATATAAACCAACCACGTCCATCTTGGATAAAGAAATACAATGTGATAGGTCGACAGTCGGTGTAAAATTTATCACATCATATATAGCGTGAAAAATTGATACAATCATAGTATTTTTCAATTTATTTTTATTAATAATATTAGTTGTTCAACGAAAAATTAGTATACTTCTAGGCGATAAGCAAAATTTTGCATAATTTATGGCTTTTATTCTTGTTCTATTATAAAAGAGTAATGTTATTCGTAGTCGCTTACTACAACGTCACCCTACGTGGCATACACATGACAGATAATTATTTGATGCATTAATATAATAGTTTTTTATTGACTTATGCATCAAATAACCATCTGTAATGTGTATGTTACATAGTACGACCGTCGTAGCGAACGACTGAAAATAGTATTATTCATAATAAAATTAATCAATCGTTAAAATTTGAATAATTGTGCCAACACCACTTAGGTCCAGTGACACCGAAAAGTTTCCATATAGGAGGTGGAGCTTCAATCTCTCATCCCCATTCCCTTCCCCTATATAATCAAAAGAATTTGAATGGGTTTTAAATAGATTTAATGAGATAATTAATTTATAAAATAAATAATATATTTTTTTATCTAACTTTTCCACCGTATTTCAAGTTGGCTTTTGCATTGATTGAGGGATTGAAAAGAAACTTGAAGGGTTTGGGACAGAGCTACACAAGAGAGAGA